CCGATTGGTTCAAAAACGAAAAAGTTATGGGCATTGGCAGTTTGATCTTGATTTTTTATGAAAGTATTGATTTGGATGTGCGTCCGTCCGTGTGTCCGGAAACTTTTTAGACCCCCACAGATTCCGGTGCCGATATGCCTAAGCTGTAGCTGGGGTCGGGCCACATCGAAACCCGTCCTCACATTGACATTTGCATTACAGGAGAGCTGGCTATGGCTTCACTAGCCTGCATGTATACGATTTGTTGAAGTATTTATTTCGCACACTAGATCAACTCAGACGCCCATCGGGCGGATTCAGCTCGTAATCATTTGAGAAGACCTTCAAAAATTTCCATCCACACATGCCAATGTTTATGTGATATAAAAGAAAAAAGTCGATTTTTATGAAAAATCGACCCCCTTAAATTTCACGCCAAAGGCGATTTCTCAAAAATGAGTCCAACAATTTTTACCAAAAACTGAGCGTTTGTAGCCGGCCACCATACCAACAAAATGGCATATGCCATATATCCGGGAAAATTCGTATTTTGAAGTTCTGGGCATAGGCAATTCATCAATGAACGGAATTTGTACGAAGAGTCGCATTCCACGATGAAATTGCTCCCAAAAATACGCATCGACTGACTAGAAAGGCTCACGAAAGACCATATCCGCTCAATTTTCGACGAACAATCGATTAAAAGTGGTTACAATGCGGTCCAAAGCCATTTCATGGTCGAAAAATGGGTCGGATTGAAGTTTCAACTTGCACTTTTTGCACTGAAAAGGATATTTTTGTTCGGAAAACACGTGAAAAACACCTCTGACGTCGTTTTGGTCTTAGAAAACTGCTATTTTTTCGTAAAAATAATGGGAGTCTACCAACACTTTAATACCCTATATCGTTGTGATTTTGGTATAAATCGGCATTTTTGCATCTGAATGTATGAAATTGAACTTTTGTTCGGGGGATACATAAAAATGCATTTTCCAGAGCTTTGGTTGTTGGGAACTAATATTTTTCAATAAAATAATGAGAATCCACAATCATTTTAACACTCTCTTTACGGTTATTTTGAAATTTAATCATATTTTATCGCATTTTATAATATGCAATTAGAGGAAAATGGAACTTTTTCAATGGTAGTTGAAATTAGATAGTGCGATCTCCAGAATTTGTGAAATTAGAATGCGAATGTGTTACCCAGAAAATTGCAATTTCCTAAAAATAAGACCTTAAAATAGACATACTTCCGTACAGCGATAATTTGTGACTACGAAATTGGTTAACTTTTCAATTCTATGGGCGCTGCCATATTGAAAATTTACGTGCGATATGGTGCACGCGCTCAATAGTTCCACTTATTTTAATAAGGAATCTCTATAGGTGGCGCTGCCACATCGTCATTGACATCGAGTCAAATATTGTCAAATATAATAACATTCTTTATATAGGCTTTTATCGCAGTACGCATACTTCTACATAAAAACGTATTTTTCCAAAAAAATGCCTTACAAAATTAGTGATATCAGATGAAAAACCGCAAAATGCTTAAAAGCTTTGGAACAAAATTCAAAAGTCGTGTCGCGATATATTTCCTTATTGTGAATACATTTTTGCAATATTGAATGCGAAAAACACCCCTGAACTTTGTATCCAGAGGTAATACAGCGTCAAAGCGTCACTCAAAATGATATCATTCTTTTTGAGTGGTAAATCCACGCACAGAGCGTCACTCCATTTTAACCTCGTCTAGAGGTTTTTCATTTGATCATATACTCATGGAAAAGTAGCCGTCGGAGTGCACGTTCTGTTCACGATACGTTAAGGCGTACACATACAACTGCGTTAACGTAAAAGGAGTATAGCGATATATTGCATCACAGCAGACGATATATTGCTGTACTCCTTTTAGCGAAGTTGTGTGTGTACGCTTTAACGTAACGCGCACTTCGAGACTACGATAGACTCACATCGATGTATTGTTGAGTTACAACGAGTCTCGTGTATCACAGCACACAATATATCGCTGTACTCCTTTCACGTGAACGCAGTTGTATGTGTACGCCTTAACGTAACGTGAACAGAACGTGCATTCCGACGGCTACTTTTCCATCAGTAATTAAGACGAAGACAAACTATTTTTTGGCGCACTACATGAAATGTATTTCATCAAATTAACTTTGAAGTAATATATTTATTTGTAACAAAGTACAGAAAAAAAATTCTCAGTTATTTCAAAAATGAATTACATGATCTTGGTTTTATTTCTTTTTTGAAATATACTACCTTTGGTTTAAATTAAATAAATAATATGAGCATAGATCTAAAGTCACTTTATTTCTGTTTAACCCCGAAAATACTGCACGGAAAAAGCTTGAAATAATGTAATTTTTAAAAAAACATTTCATCATAAAAATTTGATTGGCGCTTTGAGATATTATGCACTTATTTGTCGTTACTGCCACTGTTAAAACAGTTAAATAAAAAATATGAGCATAGAATTCAAATTCACCATAATTTGTTTCAGTACGTTCAAAAAGTATTAAGAAAAAAAACAGATTAGTAGCTCTACATTTCATGTAGTGCTAAAAAGTAGACGTCTTATAAAATAAATTTGAAGTCGAATAAACATTGCAACCATTTTGCTTATAGGTTCTGACGACCGCGCGCCAAGGGAGGGGTAAATTTTCAATTTTTGATCAAATTGTGGGGGAGTAATTTCTAATTTTTTCAAAAAAATCGAGGGGGAGATTCTAATCTAATTTTTTCTAATCTATTTTTTTCGAAAAAATCGAAGGGGAGATTCTAATTTTTGTAAAGAAAATTGCGACGTAAATCATTTCAAAAACCATTTTCCCAAGTATGAAAGAATCGCAGGTATGAAGCGACAATAACAATATATTCAATGTAAACATGACACGAGCTCTACTGACACAACTCTTGTGGTGATAGTTGAAAATTTCAAACTCGTGTGTATGCACAATGCACATTGCGCAACCAATAATCAAGTAGCAATGCTAGCGTATGACCTCTAGAGGCAGGTCGAATATTTCGAAAATAATTGCTTGAATTTTATTCGATTTCTTCAAAGAATCACTCAATTTGAATTTATGAAAAAAATGAAATGTGGGTTTTGGTGATGATTGAATAATTTCAACAAGTGGAAAAGAGCGATTCTGTAAAAAAAATCATGATCCGATTTATTTTCTTTAAAAAATTGAAATATTAAATTTTGTGGAAAAAATTATAGTTTTCATGGTTTTTTTCGAGTCGGCAATTTTGATTACAACAACAACAGGCGATATTTGACGAAGCAATATTGCCTCAATCAAAATTCCAAAAATACATCCCAAAGATTACACTCCGCGAAATAATTATAGACGCACTCACAGTTTTATACAAAAAATGCGAGCTATTGACATGTTTGTGGTTTGTATTGATATTATTTATTATTTTGGGTGCTCTTTAGAGCATTTCTGCATTTTTACAATTATTTTAAGAAAATTGAAAAAATGGAAGTGCGCCTATAATTATTTCGCGAAGTGTATATCCCCACTGGGTTTTCGGGTTAAATGTTGCGATGTTCTGGAAGAACAATGCATAATTTCAAAAGTATTTTTGGTACGGTTCTGTATATTTTTGGTATGATTTTTGGTCATAATTTGATAAGGATTTGGCAACATTTTTAGTACGCATTTTGTATGTTTTTGGTATGAATTGGTTATAAATCAAGCCAAATGAATTAACCTTTTGCTCTTTTTGCTGTGCTTCCAAAACATCAACGGTTGTTGCAATTTTTCCCATTTGATCTAGTCTGGCTTCCATTCGCTGCAACCATTTATCAATTTCAGCGCGTTTAGTTTCGTATCTGAAAGACACAAAATGAACAGTTTGTTATTTGTCAGTTATTTGGAAGAAAAAATATCAATTCAAACACGCACCGTTGAGAGTCGCCAAGCATATTTGAGAGTTGTGATTTTCGCTGTAGAACACTTTGTGATGTTTCATCCCAATGCTCTCGTAACCGATTTACTGGAAGGAAAAGTAATGAATAATGTTTGAGTTTAAAATAGTAAAAGTGTTTGGAAATCATTTGGGAATTTACATAAATGAAGCAAAAATTCATAGAATAAAAGTAGCCCATAAACCACAAGTGACTTTTACCCGGATTGTTGTTCTGTGTTTGTGTCATTTGATTTTCATCATGTGATGAACGTCGTCTTAATCGAATATCGTCGCGTGACAAAGTAGTTGGACCAGTTAAAGGATTCGGCATATTTTGTCGCATTTGATCAACCATTTCTTGTTGTGATTGAGAGCGATTATGCCGGCTATATTGTAACTCTAATGGTAGATTTCGGTCCAATGATTTCATGTGATTTTCGAAAGGTTTTTGACCTCCATTTGCATTTCCGGCGTTAGCTTCAAAATTACGCATGCTGTTGTTCAAATGCATTTGGTCCAATCGCATTTGGTCCATGCTAAAACCTCTTTCCATTGAACGCATATTTTTGTTAAGTGCTAGCCGCATTGACTCAATAACGCTCATATTTTGTGTTGATGTAGTTGGGACGGTACTTCCGCTGCCATCAAGGGAGTTCACCGATCCACCAATATGACGCTTAAATTCCATTGGGTTGAAAATACGTTTTTCGTTTTGAGTCTGAGCAGCTGCTTCCATCGATCGTATGTTCATTTGCTTATTCATTTGCTCTTGCATAGCTCGCTCCATATTTCTCAATCCACTTTCAATGCCTCGCAGTGCATCTTCGGAACTGAAGTCTTCGATTGGTGAAATCTGCCTAGCAGTTGTTGTAGTTGATGAAGATGATGTTGTAGATACTGTGGTGCCTTGTGGTGCTTTCATAATTTGCGGCAAAGTATTGCCGCTTTGTTGATTTGGCCGTTGGATATGCTGCAGCGAATTTCGTAAATTGTTGAACGGATTAGTTGATGTAATTGTTGCTTCAGGAAGATTTGCGGGAGGTCGATCAAACTTAACGGGAATTTGCGGTGTCGGTGGAACTGGACGCAGTGCATGTGGTTTCTCCTTGAGCTTCGGTGCAGCTATCGGTGAATTTTGTGCACTGTTCGGCTTCTGTGGCAGAGGAGGTGGATGTTTGCTTGCCAGCTCTTCGCTACCATCAATAATTGGTTTTTTCAAACTGCTTCGCTTTGGTGGAATTTCTGGTGGTTTTTTCGTCAAAACACTATCTCCTCGTGCTGGAACAGTTGGTGGTGTCACTTTTTTCAGCAAAGCCGTTTGTGCAGACGTGGTTGCACTTTCGCTGCTAATTGAAACTGAATTCAGTTTTTGGCGAAACATCATTTGTTGTGCCCGAAGAGCAGCTTGTGCAGCAATTCCCTGATTAGCTTTCATTACTTCTACGGATACTTTTGGTTTATCTTCTTTTTCCGCCATTTTGTTTCAATTGAAATGTCTCAAAAAATATTCAGTACCTCGGGTTATTATGGCTGATATGCACAGTGAAAATTTTTCTTTGGATATGTTGATTACTATCAAAATAGTTGAAAAACGATTTTTTGTCGCATTTATTGACAGAAAATCTCCATAAATATTACAATGCGAATGTTTACTTAATGTTCACGTGTTATATCAAAACATCATTATTATGTTTATTCCCGTCACTCTTTATTCTTCTCCGTATTGATTCAAATTGTTGATAATTTCGCTTGATATGAATGTTAAATATTTTTTTAATGAATTCGTGCATAGTTAGCTCATAGTTCCGTTCATGTCAATTTTCCTCCGCAACGAATTTCGAATATACAAAGTAGTCTTTCACTCATATTACTTTTTTTAAAATTAGTACATTGAATTTGTGACAATTAATTTAATAAACCATATATTGCAAAGGTTAATTGGGTGGATTTCTTCATTTATGTCTGATGTTTTTTATTACGGATGTATTATCGTTGTTTGTTATCTTACTGTTTCATGAGTTCACTATGCTCTAATATCTATAGAATTCAATAAGTTTCTTATTGAATTCGATTTTTTGTATTAATTGAATGGCTGATAAATCAAGCTATGAAGGTTGTGAAATGTGCGTTAGGGTTTTTATTGTAACAAATTCGTTATTATGAAATTTGATTTTACCAATATCGTCCCTTTTTTGCCCAATGGAAAATGTTTATTGCTTTTTTCTATCACCTGTCATTGGAAAAGCAATTTCGGGATTAGTTTTTTGCGATTTTTGCTCACAGGGTGGATGAAAATAAAAATAAAATGAATGGGAAAGAAGTTGAATGGCCAACAGTCTTTATTTTATACCACATACGATATGCATTTTTCAACCTAAAACGTTTGTTGAATACCAATCAAAATAATTATCAACCATTCATTCACCGGTTCACTGTTGATATTATTTTATTTGATTTGCGCACACACTTACAAATAAACAGTTATTTACCACTACCATTCGAACATATCATATGTTTGGGTCGTATTCGAAATTTTGATTATTATCGTCGAACATGCACAAGCACAGCCATCAGACGTTCGTATAATCTGATTTGTCGCAACCGATTTTGATTGAAACTTCCCTTGCGTTGGCTTCGCCAGCGTTGTATGTAGTGGTGTGCGTTTCCTTTGCGCCGACCCTTTTTTCTCTATGAAATTTCGTGCGACAGAGAGGATCGATACACGGAAGCAGCAAAAGTCAACATGATATGGTCGATTCAATACTCTATTATTCACTCACACAATCAAATGATGGTTGGTTGGTTGTAACTTTTGCTGAATTGGGGAGAGATATCTTATCTCTTCCACTGTAAATGACAAAAATTCTAAACTAAATATGTGTCTCCAATATTGGAATATTGCCACTACGAAACAATTTCAATCAATTTGTCTTTTTTACTAATGGATAACGTTGCTCAAAAATTAATCGAATATTCATCGGATCATCCGGTGAAATTCTTTCACAGTTTACAATTTGCAATGATAAATTTACTGTCAGCGATGCTGTGAAGAACGACTACTCTTAGACTAGTCTGCTTTTCAGTGCACTTGTTATTGGAACAATACAGCACACATTTTTTATGTCATCAGCCGGAATATACATTTAACTCCAGTTTGCCGACTCATTTGAATGATTTTCTAAATATAAAGTCTTTTGAGCACAATGATATGAATAACAAATATCTCTTAATAAAGCAACACCATTGTTATTTACACACTTTTATCGTGACGGACTGTTCAATCTCAAGATTCGATGTCGAATTTTCATAATTTTCAAGGGTTTCAATTGAATATCTGTAATTTTATACTTGAAATAATAAATGAATAAAATCAATTTCTGTATTTCTTTTATTGTGAAATTCAATCGAAAAATGTAATCAGTTCTTATGTTACGTCTCCCCAAACAGCTTTCACCAACTGCTGTTATCCAACATTGCGCGTTTCATGAATTTCAGAATTTAGCGGTGTGTTACCATTGCGGAGATCTTTGTGTGCGTAGTAGTAAGCGCTGATGTGTGCGTGTTTAATTGTATTAGAATATATAGTTGATCCAGTCAAATGGAAATACAGTCGGAGTTCGGGGTTGTGTTTATGGTACGGCTGGAATGCGATGATGCGGAATACGATGCGTCGAACAAAACGATTGAATGAAACCGTTTGATTTGGAATGGTATGAGTCGTTAGAATACGTGAAAACGTAACACATTCGACGCAAAGTCTTGGTATTCAGAAGCTAGCGCAAAAAACCAACGCAGTGTTAATATTTAATTCTTTTTATCAAAACAAAGGCGTTGCACGAGTATGCATTTTCATTTGTAAAAATCTTCCGCTTTGACGATAAAGACAACATAGCTAATGTTTAGTTCTTTCGAAATTTTGCATGGCTATTTTCCGTTCTTGGAAATATCATAAGAATCCTTGTTAGACTGCAACCGAATCTAATATACGAAATATGTGCACATTTTTTGAGTGTCACAGAAATCAAAACTATGAATTAATGTTTGGAGAAAGATGAAGGCCAAAATAGGGCAAACAAAATGCGTAACATATTTAGCAATTTAACGTTTCGTATACACACAATTTGAGCAGCCGGGCTCTGAAAAGCCTCTGAAACACAAGAATGGTCGTTTCCATGGACAATGTGGCCAAACCAGTTGACCGACTCCAACCATATAAGTATTGCTAGACCTCTCATCGATATTTTTAGTAATTTCGGG